GGTAAAAGCCGGTGCAGTACAAGAGAGGACTGCTGATATATTAATGGTGGCATCAGGAATCGAACCCACGACGCTACCGAATCAATAAATCAATAAATCTGAAGCTCTACACTCTACGTACTTATCAACCTTTCGTATCCTTAACCCTTAGTAATTTAGAGTTACTGACTGCCTTAGGTTAGTAAACTAGCTTAATTCTACATGCCACCCTTTCTGTAAACTGAATGTAGTATCCGGCAAGTGCTCATAAACTGGTGATCCCATTTTCTGACCCATAATTTGAAAATTTAAAGTTGCCCAGTTGGTTCCCAGACTATTTACTTTGCAGATGAACAGTGCTGATAATTAGAATGGATTAAGATAATCTGTTATTATCATTTTACGTTTATCTTTGAAGAACTCCTACTTAACATACAAAGTTTCTAATACAAACTAACAAATTGAGGAAAAACGCATCTAATTGGTGGGATGTTGAAGAGAGAATGAGAGCAAGTGGGAGAGAGAGTGTGTGTGAGAATGTGAGTGTGCGAGAGAGAGGGCCGTTGCCAATCAAAAATGTCAGTTGCAAGTGGTGATACTGTAAGACCAAGGTCGGTCCAGGACCTTGACCCAGATCCAGAGTGGTCCTGCCTCTACCTCTATATCCGTCCACAGCGCTGATCATGTGCGCGATCTCGCTATCTGTTCACTCGACGTGGCGACAACCTAGTGAGTGCCAGTTGTTCGACATGCCACTTGGTCGCCAAGCCAGTTGACTGTTATTTAGAAAATATGAAAAAAAACTGGTATTTGACAAAGACCCATAAGCGAGTCATGGTGTTCTGGGTTAACCAGTAGTGTCCATAGATTTATAATAAGAACACTTGTTATTATAAATCTATGGAGGGGAGCGAGCTGGTTTAGTGGTTAGAGAGCGGGACTTCGGTCCAAGAGGTCCCGGGTTTAAATCCCGCCAAATCACCAATGGATTTTATCTAAGTGATAATGCCGCAACCCCTAGGTCTAGCCTGAAGTAATGTGAAAAACAATACCGAGCTCGTTCCTAGCGCCATATGAAAAAATATAATAACTAATAAATATTAATACTATTCAATGCGTGAGTCGTCAGATTGAAAAGTTTGGAAACCGCTGCGTAGCCAATACAGAGAAAATGGCCCACAAAAATTCTCAATAAAAAATTGTATTAACTAAAAAATATGTTAAGTGGTACCACGCGCGCCGCTTATCTCCAAGTGCGACGAGAGATTGCGTGCGCGTCGGTCGTGCGACCTTTTTAATTTATCTCGGACGAAGACGTGCCGCCGCGCTTGTAGCGGTTCCCCGATGTGAAATTTGACTCATTTGTTTACACGGATCAAAAACAGCCTCAGGGTCCGTCCATGGGCGATTCTGTTTACTTGCTTTCGCAGATACTGCAAGGCCTGTCATCTTTTATTATACAGTATACTAGCAAAAGAACCCACCGTGGTTAAATACAACGGTTTCTAGACAAATTGAAAAAAATCCAAAATTATAGTTATTTGCTAATATACACGGGTGAAGCTTTCCATTGACGTGTTGATAAATTAAATCAGTCCAGTAGAACTGTAGATTTAGTTATACAAAGTTTACATAATTATAAGAGTAGATTATGAGGGAGGAAATCAAGAGAGATAAATTCCCAGAGTTTATGGAATTATTTAAATATTTTCCTGCAAATGCTCATTTTTAGTATTTGATATATTATTCACAAAATAACTGTTGTAATGTGTGTTAATTTTACTCAGTATAATTATTACAAGGGGACCCATGCATAAATTACGCATTTTAATAGGGTGCAAAACTTAATTCCAAGGTAAAAACATAATGCAATACCCTTTTACTTTTCAAAAGATCTACACCATATAGTGTATTTACCATAGGTAAATGACTGAAGAGTCATTTACCTAGCTCAATCATTGTGGCTATTATTTCAAAAGTCTAAAAGCCTATTTTAAATCCAATTTCAAAAACTGTTTCGTCTTTCTCTTGTTTACAATCTGGCTGTGGTTAAACATTCAACTGAAGGATCAGCTGTTCTTGTTGATTGTAATTTACTACGGAGTAAATTACAATCATGTTTAAACCGTTATAAGGAAAGTTTTCCAGGAAAACTGTCTTATTGAAAGTAAACTCAAGAAATAATTGAAACGCAAGGGGACGAAACCCGTAAGGATAGCACGAATACTAGAAAAATACCGGTAAACATAAACAAATGACGTTGTTGGCCCGAATCCTATACTAATAGCATTGAACATATGTTTTGGCAGTTCCATTTAAGCAATGTTAAATAATGTTTATTTTCGGGCCAAACACGTCATTTGTTTATGTTTATGATCCATACCGGTATTTTTCTAGTAATCGTGAAGGATAGTAACTTTTATGTTACTATTCGCACTTGCGCCGGATCATAAGCTTTAAAATGCCACCTCAATCGTGAAAATCGGTTAAGTAGGACAGCTTGAAAAGGGATGTAACAGAAAACCCCCTTTTTATTAGTATCTAGAAGATAGATAGATATATTACTAACCAAATAAACCATTTTAATATGTTAATTTTACTCTAAGATTGCTTAAAGTTTTGTTGATTTAATACATCTAGCCTATTTGCTTTTTAGATCTAATGATTTGAAACTGTAGTATGGGATTAATATTTGATTAGTAAATGTCTAGAATTCCCACTCTAGCAAGCCCACATGGTGGGGTAAATATTAATTCTTACCTTTGCAAGAAAGGAGAAATATAATTATTGATTTATGAACGCCTGGTGAACGTTTCATCGACCTTGTTGTGACACTGGTGGAAATCTGATCTTGGAAGGCGTTGTTGTATAAATCACAATCAGCTGTTCAGTGTTTATATCGATATGAAATAAATGCTAACGTCATCTCAAATTTAAAACCAACAAATCTATCTATATAAATAAAATTAGGGTTTTGTCTGTACATTGCTCAGAATCATAAACTTTAAGGTTATTTTTACGTTTTATACATTAAAGAAACCGAAACAAGTCTTATCTAAATTTCTGTCTGTCTCCCAGTCTGTTACGGCCCAAGAGCCTTTTTACGCGGCCTTCTCCTGAAAAACGAGAGTACCTATCAAGTTCCAAATCATTTAAATCTATTAACTGGATTGGCGAGATTGTCTTTAGCCATTAAAATATAGCGTCACTACTTTTTAGATAAAACGCCGGACGATTAAAACCCCTATTTTGTGCGATTTTTTGTAAAGTTTTCTCCCAATGTTTATTCATCTATGAAACAACGAACAGCTGTTCGAATCAAGATTATTTCTTCTAGCTGTCACTGATATGTTTACATTGAATGTTGTTTACAAATACCGCAACCATTTCCAATCACGTTTTGAAAGCAAATCCAAACCAAGTAAGATTAAAAACGTGTTTCCTTACATAACGGATTTAATTAATCGCAAGTGCAATAATTTGTAGGGTAACCGTAAATGAAAATAGAGATTCTTTGTGTATGAAATTGTTCTTCAGTTTTGATAACCGGGAAAAAGACCTTGAATCAGTGTTGTATATGGCTGGGAAGCTTACATTTTTTAAATGAGCGTTTTCAGTCGAGACTCGGCACACTACCGACGCGCGTCTACATGTCCATAGTAAAAATAAAAGTAGGCATACCGTGTACTTATGTTTTATTCATCATGTGTATAAGTGTACAGTTCGTGTATGTGTTTTAAAAACTTAAAGACGCACCTAATGGGGAAGCTCAAGACCTTATATTAGGACTGATGATGGTGATTTAATTTCGCCGAAATGCATCTCCTGTATTAAGATACATTAGGATCGACCGGCGGACACAGGTAATTTATTAACCTTTTATCGATTGTCATACCGTACCGATTCGGAACAACAACAAACAGCATAAAATGAAGTTATGTATAATAGTTTGGCCAGCATATCTGAAAATATGCAAACCAACTGCTGTTCTTTATATAAGAAGGTTTCAACTGAATACTATAGATCCTCGTGCGTAGAACGGGTACACAGCTAGTCATAACTAAAGTAATGTTATTCAATACCTTACTGACTGTGTTTACCTATACCAAGAGACAAATTAATATGTAGCATAATATAGTTGAACAAATAATTCAGAAGCTCGCACCATATCAGAACACGCATGCAATACAATACGCCAATCAATTACGACTAACTATCAAATATAAAATAAAGTTCTCAATAAAAGCAATAATTATCAATAGTTTTACTTATTGTTCGTGTATTAAAACTTGTATATCAAATTTTCAAGTACGTAAAAAAGATTTAATAAAAATTGTATTTCCACCAAAGTTCGGAATATGATTGTGTAAGTAGTGATTTTTTGGATTTTTATAGTAGTAATTTTATAATGGTCTGCTTTGATGTTAAGATATAGTTGATTTTTCTCGGGTTATTAAGCTTGTTGTCTGTGACCTATGTTCTGTTGGATATAATTCAAAACTATATTGTTATTACAATGAAATGCGTTCTCTCAACGTATCCTATTTCATAAACAAGTGTATACATTGTTAAGCTGTTTATTACAAGTACAAACAACCTACAAAAGGTTGAGCAAAATTAATTGCAAATTATCATTTTACTGATCATCAATTATAATTTTACCCCAATTTACAATAGATAAATTGATGTTCAGTAATGATTTAGAGGCTGGGTAGTCATAAACAACCAATTAAAAAAGTTGTATCAATTTTTGTTAAATAAAACATAAGAATATGGTTTAAAATTGGTTTTGGAATTCCCATTGTTTGACCATGTCCAGTGACAAGCGACAGTTATCACAAATCACAATGGCACGTCCTCAACCCGGTACAATAAAATAGAAATAACCCATCCGCGACAACAATGTTTACAATATTACATAAAGTGTCAATGTCGCGGTGCGGAAGGGCCGGCGGCACGGGGGGAGGGGGGGCCGCGGTTATATAGGGGGGCTGAGCCGGTTGCTCAACAGTCGTCGTGGAGTAGCAGTCTTGCTCAGTGACGTCACGTGGTCTAGCTCAGTGAGTGTTGTCTCAGGAGGCCGCGCCGCGCTTCTAATTATAAGTTATTCTAGTCATACAGTGAACGCGATGCCGGAACCCAACGAGAGTGTAGAGCTAGCTGCCGAGGCAGCGGATCTGTGCGGAGAGCTGCAGAAGCCGCCGATGAAACATTCGGACACCAAGGATAGCATCTCGTCCGTGGAAAGCGACTCGGCCCCCGTGGTCCCTTGCGAGGGCAGAGAGGACGGCCCTACCGAGGAGGAGGACGAGCGAGCCAACCTAGCGGACCAGAGCGACTCCGGCAGCGAAGGGTCGCCGGAGAAGGACTCGGGATGCGAGGGCGTCAATAACCCCGCGGAAGACACCAAGGACGAAAAAGACGAAGAAGAACCACCCTTTGTACCCCCGGACGATGAACTGGTGGAAAAGATAATCGCACAAGTCGAGTTTTACTTCTCAGACGTGAATATCACCAAGGACGCTTTCCTGTTGAAGCACGTGAAACGCAACAAGGAAGGCTACGTGAGTTTGAAGTTGATTTCTAGTTTTAAACGCGTCAAGCACATAGCCAAGGACTGGAGGGTGGTCGCCTACGCTTTGGCGAAGAGCACGAAACTGCAGATAAACGAAGCAGGCACCAAGTTGCGAAGAGTGGACCCTCTGCCCGCTTACGACCAGACGACGCCGTCCAGGACCGTCGTGGCGATAGACTTGCCTCTGGAGAAGCCTACGATAGAGAATGTGGCGGAGATGTTCAGGACCTGTGGAGAGATCGCGCTCATCAGGATCCTCCGACCTGGCAACCCCATCCCTGCGGACGTCCGTCACTTCGTCAACAAACACCCGGAGATGAACGGCACGGTGAGCGCCCTCGTGGAGTTCGTCCGGACTGAGAGCGCCCATAACGCCATCAACAGACAGGACTGGGACTGGCGTCATGGAGTAGACCACTCGGCTATGAAGGTGGGTCAATCTTTCAAACATATGTATAAGAGGTCTTTACATACATAAAAACAAAAACCCCTGAAACTAGACCAATCCATAGTCGTTAAACACCATATTCGTTGTAAGTCACTCCTATCACGATTCAAACATTGTTAAACATTTATTATATTGTCAAGCGGTTAAGAATCTAACATCATTTCGAAGAGAGTCGCAAACAATCAATCAATCCCTTAATAAGGACTATTACGATTCAACCGATAACTTAAATCTGCTGAAGAGAACTCAGCATAACGTTTATTCGTATTGAAAACCCTGTAATGCTCCTCACATTACAAACACAATAGGTTAGAATTTAGTAACTTTGGAAACTTAATAATTGAAACACTGGCTAAACTAGGCCTCCAATATATTTTTCATTCCAAGAAGTAATTTAAGAGTCTTACAATCCGATGATATGTAGCTCATGTTGAAATGGAAGATTGTAAATGGACAGTAAAATATAACAGCGAGTTAGTAAGATTAATCCACTAAATCAGCAAATGAATAATAAATTAAAACTCTCATAATCACGTCTACAGTATTCAATAAAAAAAGTAAATATAGGTACTTAACTTTTTTTATTAAGTATCGACATTAACATAATTAACTACCACAAGATGGTATTGATAAGAAACCGGTTATTGATTACCTTGTAACATATGATTAGATAGTGATTAGATTTTCATGTTGCAACATTTTATTGACAGCCTGGTTGTATATATTGGCTTATATAGTTTATTGGCACAACGAAAGCTCTTGGCCTTGGCCCTAATAAGTTGAAGGCCATCGTAATACAGGGAGCCCCCAATATATTTTCCGCGAAGAGTTTTAATAAGTTCAAAATACAAATACAATGTTATACATTCAACTAAGTAATTGAAAAATATTGTACAGAGAAAATAATTTAAAATCAACAAATGGTGAATTTGACAACACACCATAAAATATTAGATGGGTCTTAACTTAACTGGTGGAAGACTTAAGTAATTTTAATCTTTGCTAATGTTTGAATATTATTTACTAGTGCATAAATAGATGTAACTGGTGTTTTAAGCAGACTAGCTTCAAAGGTCTTTAAACGGTTAAACGCGGTTAAACAGAAAAAACCCGGAATACTTTATAATTTACAATACTTTAAAAAATCATGAATGTTCCCAAAAATATTAACTGATACAAGGTATACAACATTTTGAATTTTGTTTCTAATCAATGTTTCAATTAAAATAGCGCTTCGTCGTTAACTTTTAGCGTTTATTGATTCAAATACAATACGAAATTCATCAAATGTTTCACTTTTAATTTTGGAATTTTTGGTTGTAATTTAATTTACTTAAGGTATATTGTGGTCTTTATCTAAGTAAACACTTTTAGCATAGGCCAAATTCGAAATTTATATTTTTAGGTTGTACTCTTGAGAGTCTCTAAACAAATAATTCATTTTGCTTTTAAAGTAACTTTCCTTAATTTCAGTTTAATCATTTTATAGCATAAAGATCGATTTCGACAGGTTACAAGAAGGAATATAATTTAATTTCTTCTAAAACTAACACACGTATTGCGTTCCGTTGAAACTATTTTAATCTTCGTTTGGTTTTGTGATTAAGTCTTGTTTGAACTGTAAAACAAACAAATACGTATTATATTTAGAAGTCAAATCAAAATAGTTGTGCAATTCGACCATTCGTTGGAGGCTGTAGTTTGGAAAGAAAGTTAAAATAATGATACAGAGTTACAGTAGAATTACATCGTTAGTCTGAAATTTTAGTTTAGTTGTGGTTGTAATAATTTTTAGATAGGCTAAATTATGTATGGTACATATTTAATGTGATTTAAATAAATAAAGTCTAATTCATTTAACCTGAGAGGGGAGCGAGCTGGCTCTTGCTGGTGGTGGAAGAGAGCAGGACTTTGGTCCTTGCGCCCCGGATTCAAATCCCGCCAAGTCACTAATGGATTTTATCTAAGTAATAATGCTGCAACCTCTAGGTCTAGCCTGAAGTAATGTAACAAACGACCCCGGGCTAAAGCGTAGCGTCCTAGCACAAAATCCTTAAGAATAAATCGTATAGGAAAAATAATAATTACTATTGAAACATTGGTGTTGTAAATAAAACTATAACCAGTAGATTCATAAACTATAGCTTATTCCAGAAAAGTTAAAGTAGCAGCAGACATCATTTCACACCCACAGGAAAATACTAAATCATTAAACTTGCAAGTAAATAATAAGAAAATGGTAACTGGCGTTGTAAATGTATCAGCGATAACATAGGTTTCTTTTGTGGTTCATATAGTTCCTTTTCTAAATAATTGCATTTTCACAGGTGCTGGAACTGAACGCACCGCCGAGCTCTGACAGGAAGAAACGCACGCAATCCCAGAAGAAGAACCCTGGAATGACTCGACTGTTCGACTCCGAGTACTCGTCATCCTGCGCCTCCGGAAGCGAGGCCGAGGGAAGCTACCAGCGGCAGATGAGACTCCAGAGGCGTTGTAGCTCTCCGCACATGCAGCGACCCGGAGACCACTGGACCCAGAGGAGGTGGTCCAGAGACTCCGGCAGCGACAGCCCGAGCAGCAGCTTCTCCAGGAGTCGCTCCAACTCCGGGGTCTTCTACATACCAGACCACGTCCGGAGGATGTCCGCCGGTTGGGACTCCGGAAGTGACTCGTACGGAAGTGGAAGATCCAGGTCGAACAGTGGAGTTTCTCTGGCTGACAGGAGGTTCTCCGTGCAGAGCAAAGATTCCGATTGTTGCTGCTGCGGACATTACAACGACTGCAGAAGGATGTCCTACTGCCACGACTCTGGCAGCGAAGGTTACGGAAGTAACAGGTCTAGATGTAACAGTGGAGCTTCTGACATCAAGAGGAAAGACTCCGGGGAGTATTATTGTCCTAAGAGGTTCATCCAGCCGGATAGGAGGATCTCTCTGACCAGGGAACCCGAGGGACCCTATTGTCCGAGGATTCCGATGGACCAGCGACGAGTTTCGGTGGGAAGCGACACGGAATCTTCCGGCAAAATTGGTTTCCAGAGGCAGCGATCCTCTTCTGGCATCCACCTTCCGGAGAACATCGTGAGGATGCCCAGAGGCCCTGATGGAGGTCGTGGGTTCGTCGCTCCTCCGCCTGTAACCACCTGTCACACTCTCGTAGAGTAACGATCTCTCGATATTTTATCGGTCCCGAGACTACTTTATCGATATTGGTACCCAACCCACTGATTCCTGATGCAATAATTGAAACCTGAAGCAATATTCTAGTGCTATATACGAACAAACTGTACATATTATTCGAGTGATAGGATATATAAATTGGAAAAGCGCGTGTGATAGTATGAATATAAGTTACGAAACGAATGAGAATCTGATTATTTTCGGGCGAGTCTGTTTTTGTGTGAATGTTTATTTTATGGAATATACTTATCGTTAACGATGAGGCAATGGTGAAGAGACTGAACTAGGGCGCCCTAGGAGAAAAGAGTGAGGTTATTTATATATTTGTGTAAATAATAGGCTACTGTTATTGTTTCCTCGTCATGTTACCATTTGTAATTTATTTCATTGGAATTGTATTTATTTTATCCCGGTTGAATTCATTCATTATTTATTCCGTCCAATCTATTTATTGCATTGTACGATTCAGTCCATTTCAAATCATTAACTTTAACTATGTATTTATTTACATTCCGTTTGAGAATTTCAAATTTTCGTTTGTGACATCCTAATTTATTTATTGTTATTCAATTGTTGATTTGTGTTATAAGAAAATTTGTTAGTTGTAGTTTTAAGTCAGTATTTGTTTGACTATACATGATCTGTTAGCCATAACTATTACCGTTATTGTTAGTTTTAAATTATTGTAAATAAATACTTTTGCAAATTGTAAGTTTGCTGTTTTTATTCTTAGTTCAACCCTTTAATAACATATCAAAGTAAACAGTCACATTACATAGCAAACGCTATCTTAAGGCTCATGAAAGTGTAAATGAAATATCGAAATTTTAGATAAAAAAAAATAATAAAAGTAATACGATTAGTATCTAAACTAAAAACAAATTTTCAGACCATAGACGACATTAGATCACTAAAGAATTTCGGATGCAAACACAGAACACATGTATAAACATGAATTGTGTAAACAGCTGTTAATGAAAGCCAGGTTCGTTTCTGAGTCATGTAACCCTTCAGCACACTTGTTGCTAATGGATCAAAACTACCACAATCCCATAATGCAACAGTATCCTTAATAAACTTTCAGTTGCTTCTGGGTTTATTCTGGAGTTATTTTGTGTTTACATTTTGCTTAAGTCGTTAAATGAAAATAGACTCGTTGTTTGAAGGTGGAAAGATCAACATTTTGTTTAGAAACTAACTTTATTTTCAATCAAAGAAATATAAACATTCTCACAACAATTAAACCTCGTAAGCCAAGTAATCACAGCTTCATTGAATAATCGTTATTGATATGATGATAATACCGGTATATCGACGTTTTGTACAGATTATCAACAACATTCTATGACAGTTGTTTACACTGCTTGCCCACTCGACACAGTGGGTGATATCACACTCAGTTGTAAATGCAAAGACTACTAAACTCTGATCGGTTCTGTCGTCTTTGCGAATGATGACGTCAACAAACACTTGTTTGTAGGTGTAAACAAACATTTTGACTGTTTTCGTAGTGGAAGTTTCTACCTTTTAATATTCATGATTGGGTCTAGCCTAGTAAGGAGATATTGAAACCGATTCAAATTTAATGGTGAATGATCACAAACGAATTTTTATGAATTTTCCTGTTTAATTTCTTTTTACATTGTTGTATACACACTTTTAACCTATATTTAGTGTTGATAGAAATTGGCCTGAATTGGGACAAATCGTGTTCTTGGAAAGTCAAGTGTGTTAATAAAACATAGAGGCCAAGTGGTTAAATGAAGTGCCATGTGCGGATTTAGCTAGGCCTTTCCTGTGACAGGCTTTGTGAACAAGGAGGATTTCTAACTATTATAATAGTTTAAATCCAAATAGTAGCAAATACTTTGTTAAGAAATGTGGTGTTACAGTCAATTTAAATTACACGAAATATCTTTTCACGAAGATTTCCATGTTCAGACATTAAATTTTATCTTAATTATTAGTTAATTATTGTTAACTTTCCAGTAACAATTATTACATCATGTATTTACGTATATCCTACAACATTAAGCAGTGTTTTCTTGGTCAATTACACACTGATGTACTGCATGTTGTTCTTTAAAATCTTGGCACTAAGGATGTCAACAATCTATTTAGAGTCTAACCGGTTACATTGTAAGTACCAGGTCAATAATTACATCTAGGATTTAATGTGAACGATAATCTTTTGCTGGTATACAGGGTGTCTCTGAACTCTACCGACCCTCTTCTGTGCCCCCTAACTCTACTCATTTAAGTATCATTTCTGGACCGAAGACAAACTAAAATATCGTGTAAACAATTTTCAAAACTCAAAAATTACCACAGCCCGTTTTTACAAAACTATTTTTTATTTGACAACTGCTTTACGTCTTAATTAAAATTTGGTGCGTAGATAAATAACTCTAAGACTGTGTTTAAAACAATATCATCTGTGGTCCTTGGGTAACTGCAAAACAATCAGCTGTTTTAATTGTTGGTTACCCAATGAGCGCAAATATTGACGAAGATAGTATTTTAAAAATGAATTATCTCACTTATTAATGGACCGATTTTCTTAAATTTGGCAACTTAAATGGTAAGAAAATTGCCTAAATAAAACTTCACTAGAGTAGTGTCATTTACCTACGTAATTTTTATATCATTTCAGTTGACAATTTTAATATGGCTGCCATTTCGAAACCAAACTTGATAAGCAATTTCTTTCAAAAATATGTGTTTATGTTATTCACCTATAAGCAAAATTTCAATTAAACTTACAACGTCTTTGATTTATGAATGACATATTAAAAATTCGGTAGAGAGTTCAGGGTCTCCCTGTATTACCATTATATAATGAATATAATTAGTATAATGCAATGTGATGTAATTAGTATTAGCTTCGAACAACGATTTTGTAAACATTTGGTGTAGGGTAAAGGATGAGAACGTTAGGTTCAAGTTCTCATAAAATATTGTCTCGATGTTCTTTGCAATCAGTTTATCAGCTATATTGTACTGTTAACCGAATCCGAATACTTGGGGTATATTATTATTAGTATACGCGGGGACCCAACTAAGCGTGTTTTCACCCCTTCCAGGATCAGCCATTAAAATCCAGAAACCTCCGATCACATTTCTCGCATAGTCAATGCCAAGCGAACTAACTACCCAACTATCCCATTCGAATAGATCGCACACCCAATTATTCAAATCAATCTCCTCAAGGATTTCAGCACAATAAGTCGTAATTTGCCGAGTAAAACAAATCACCAAAGTCAGTGACCTAATTTTAATTTCTCCGAACTACCACGCACGAAGATAGCAGCAAGGATAAAGCAATTAGTGTAAAGGATAACAAAACAAATCAGTGTGTAGTAATCAATAAGCAAAACGAAGCAAACTATAACGAAGAGAACTGGGTTAATACTTACGCTTGTCACCCGTGAAGGACTGGTGATAACACAAGGTCATAGTGATAATGGAAGGATGTCTTCCGATCTGTGATGATTACTACCAATGTAAACAACATCAAGGGTATGATAAGGAAAGGTCGTTAACTCACGTGCAACGGAAGGAAATAGGAAGTAAAGTCTGCGGTGTGAGTGGCCTTGAGTTATCACAGTGACCTTGGCGGCATTGTTATCAAGATGAGATGATAATGCCCTAGACAAGGTCCTTAGCACTTCCGAGTAATTAAGTAATCTTCGTTACCAAAACTGAGGATTTACTAGTGGAACTTTAGGTAACTGTTACTATTGCAATTTTTGTGTGAAGCTCTCCAAAAGAAGGATTTTGCTTGAGATGCATATCCTTATTATGGATACAGTAATTTAGACAGTTTTTATCCTCGTAGTCACACTGTAGAATAGTTCCCGTGCAGTTGTAGTTTTATTAGCAATTTTCCTATATAGGGAAGAAGCTATTACCGTAGGTAGTACGGGCAAGACGTGGACCTGGGAGATAATTACTTTTTCATTTTAGGTACCCAGACACCGAAAACACTATATTATAGTATGCGTGTAAAATAAAGTGTAACGATGTTTGTAGCCTCGTTACTAAAATCAGCTGTTTCCAATATCCAGGATAACTAATTATCTCGAGCCATGGCAAGATGTTATGGGGTTTTAAATCTTTTTAAAAAGTTTTTCCAAATATTACCCTTAGAATATGAAAATGACAGATTTTATTTATAGCCATCGTGTAGAGCTTGTAAAAACAAACAATTTTAAGCCTTGAAGCGTTCTTGTAGGAGTTAAGGTTACGGAAAAAATCGAACAAGACTGAACACTTAATTCCCACGTTGTTCTTCAAGAGAAAAAAAAAAACTTTTGTAGTTTCCTAGTTTTTGGAAGTATTTTGGTAAAATCGGGCAAATTTACTTATTTTATATTATAGCATACCGACATTAAAAAACACCCTTTTTCTTCCCTGAACCCAGGAACTTCGTTGTTCTTTCAACCCAGGAACTCATTAAAAAAATTATATTTATAAAGGGAATAACTCTTGACATATAAGGAAATATTTTAGTAAAAAACAATTAGAAAAAGGAAATTTGCTTAGTCTGCAGGTTTGCAGTGGTGGGGTATTTTAATATTTTCCTCACGTAATAATGAGGAGATAATAATTGTAACACGCGTAGTAAAATTGTTTACTTTTTCGAGTACGTTACATGTTTACACAGTGGCCCATTTTAAGCGACCTATAAGTAATCAGACTTTGATTTAATCCCGTAAGAGTTGGTTAAGAGAGGTTATAGTAATATATCTACAAGTTTGAGTGGATTCCGAACCACGAGGCAATGGAAATAACATGTAAACTCCATTGGTCCGCGCAATTTAAAGCGTGCCTATTTCAATGCACGAGTTACACTACTAGCATGTAAATAAACACATAATACTCGTACTTGAAATTATTTAAGCTCAGTATTTACACTGCTAAGGACAAATTTGAATTACAACTCCCCAAACTAGCACGCGTCGTCTGAACTATTTCTAGGAGCTCCTTGACCGAAAACTCACGCGTTGTTGTCAAACGTACATCTTCATCCAGTTATTATTATCTAACTCAACCGAAATACCCGACCTCCGCTGTTGAGATTCACTGATAATCTCGCTGAAGGCTTTCTCTAGTTAACGCACTGATAACTGATTACTGTCAAGGTCTGGACGGGTTTGTGGAGCCTACCTTAGTGTGGCCTTGAGCCTACGCACTTTGAATGAAGGATTTTGCGATTGTATTTTCAGCTTCGACAGAAAACAAATGTAAATATTGATGATTTTTGCTGTAAAACATACATAATTGAGACTCAGTACAATAATAGAAAAACTACATTTTTAATTCTACGTTTCTAAACTGTAGCCACGAAAGGTTTAAAACTGAGAGAAGCTAAGTTAACAGACCACAAATAATTACGTTATTATTTTATCTTGTAACAATGTAGATGTGGAAAAAAATTGAGATATTATTGTTTTGTTTTACGAGTAAAACATATTTCTTTATACAAAACAGCGATTTAACGAATCACTTGTAAATCATAGAAAGGATTTTTCATAATTAAAAAGCGTGTCTGAAAACGAGTTAACTATTTTGGGACTGAGGAATGAGTAATAAGTATGTAAGAAATTTTATATAAATTATAAATTATATCAAGATGGGGACGCCACTATGTGCGTATTTTAACCCCAATATGAGTAAAGGATGAGTGTAGGATGTGTGGCGCGATCTTGT